ATCATGTTCAGGTATGTTAAAGTTAATAAAAAGGGTTTTACACCAGGGATTTAAATCATTTCGCGTCGTTATTTTTCGCGGGACTTAATTTCGCAATTTAGTATCAATAGTGTACTGTTTTACTAATTCACACTTACAACCATAGGAGGTTAGGCTATGTGTTACATTTACAATTTCAAGAATCGCTATGCTATATGAAGTACAATATTAGATTGACGAATTTGAATGAAAGTGCCGGACGTTTGGCGGAGTCTTGTAAAGTTAACTAACTCACCTGCAAAAGATGTAGTTATATTAACGAAGAATATCAACCCAGTTGCGATGACCCGGAAATAACGAAATTTGTAAAACACTCCTTCCATCTTGTTGTTCTGAGAAGAAAACGGCTCATTATGAAAAATGGAAAATAGATATCAAGGAAAACGTTATGCCAAATAAATATCAACAATTACTCGTACTCTCGCAGTATTAGAACGATAAAAAAGAGTATAAAGTTCCTCGATAGCAATATAGGTTTAAGAATTGAACATCTTAATTGTGATGTCCATCAGTGACGTTTTACCATTCTTCGTAATGTTAACATACAAATGAGTTTAACGATAACACACTGACTATCTTACTACTACATCGTTCACATATGCAGACGGTGTGTTAATCTCAACCAAGAGAACCCGTAGCAAGTAAGCAAACGAGATTAAAGGATCGAAAACTTACCGAATAAGGAGCTCGAGCATTCAACTAACTAGAACTCTTGATTAAATAAATGCAATATTTTGGGGCTATTAATATCTATTAGCTATAAATTCCGCATAGAAACGACTTAACCCTTGAGAGGCACTCGAAAATCTGAAGGCATATCCAACATAGGCAGGTTCAGCTCTTACTATAATGATTCAAATCAGTTCTTCTCGTTTCTTTTTGTTTATAGAAATTTTCTTTCTAGATCATTTACTTTATAATTAGGGAAAATATATATCTTTATTTCTAGTATTAAAGTTTTATGATTCACACTAAGCCTCTTCCCTCGCTGCAAAAGTGTTGGATGTGACATTCAGCATGGATGATTGATGTGACAGCTACTGACTGACTTGATGTAGACAAGTCATTGTACATTGTTATCAGACCGGAATACCAAAAAATGCTATAAAATAATGAAATTATTAAAAAGGTTTAATTTTCTTAGATTGCAAACAATATATCCGTGAAACACTAATGACTAAAACAAAGAAGAAAACAATAGAATTAGCATAGAATAGTGTAAGTTAGGAAGTTGGTATTATTAATATTTCACGGAATATTGTTTGCACTGTTTTGACTTAGCTCTAAATGCTTATTCTGTCGTGATAAGAACTGATTGCTAATTAAAACGTAAGTAAGAGTGATAATCAATATCAGAAGTAAGAGGAGTTGAATATTTATGAGGAGGTGTTTGACATTTCTCGATCAACGTATTCGTTTCTTCAAGTTTTTATTTAAGTATGAAACATATACGAAGCATATAAAACGGGGCCAATCAGAATGAACAGTGGCTTATACTACTATGATTATATATAAGCATGATTGTTATTGTGTAATGAAGAATATATTGACATCCAAAGAACTTCCGCTTTAGAACCGTTTAAAAAGCTAGACATTGCCTTTATTCAGTATAAAATAAAAAACAGGATTTCATATGAATGGTATTTCTCTCACTCTTTCGTTATTTATTCTTCATTCATGTAATTCGAATCAGTTCAAGTTTATGTCTTACGATTTTCCTTTTATATTATTAGGCTATAATCACCTACATGCGATTTGTTGTGAAGTGTGATCGTTCGGGTGAGTGTAGTCTTTGAGAAAGACTGTTGCTTCGGCCCTCGGGATCTATTTGGCTTAATACCTCAGTCTTCGGTAATCAACTTTAACTGCTTTTTCACATCCTATGAAGCCCAGCCCTAGAAAGCAGCAACTTCAAGAACGATAGCCGCGCATGAAAACCGTTTTGAAAATGTGCAGGTTTCATCCTTTGCGTCACCGTCCTGGCTTGCGTCCTCATGCTTAAGGTCTCTGCATGGGTGATTGTTATGACAGCTACTGATTTAATTAACTTGAGGCGTGGATTTCGACAACTCATTGTACCTTGTCATCAGACCAGGGCGAGGCAACAAAAATGCTACATTAGTATTTTACTGATACCACATACTAAACCATTAAGATTTAACAACTGTGCTATTTCAAACTGAGGGAATAATGATAATAATAAGCTATCATTAAATTTTGCTTCTTGCTTATTCTTTCATAATTTTCAAAATACAAATTGTACTTTGTCATCAGGCCAGGTCTAGTAACAAAAATGCTACATTAAACCATTAAGATTGAACAACTGTGCTAGATTGAACCATTAAGATTGAACAACTGTGCCATTTTAAACTAAGAGAATGATAATAATAACAAGAATTAGCTATGATTTATTTTTACTTATCGCTTAATTTTTCGTCATTTTAAAAATTTTAAATTAAGAAGTCATTGAATGAGGTAATTGCGATTTAAGAAAGTTTTGGAAATTTCTAACGTATTCCTTTTCTTATTTATTGGATAAAACACTCAAAATGTCATTCCATTCACGAATGAACATCAATTGCATTGTTTCATACTATCTAATTAATTTTGTGTGTGTGTGTGTGTGTGTTAAATTGAGTATCGTGACATTCTAAGACATTCCGCCTCAGGCCGACTTTTAAAAAACCTAGAAAGTGAATTCTGTTCAGTGAATGAATAAGGGCCACTTTTGCNAACCATTAAGATTGAACAACTGTGCTAGATTGAACCATTAAGATTGAACAACTGTGCCATTTTAAACTAAGAGAATGATAATAATAACAAGAATTAGCTATGATTTATTTTTACTTATCGCTTAATTTTTCGTCATTTTAAAAATTTTAAATTAAGAAGTCATTGAATGCGGTAATTGCGATTTCAGAAAGTTTTTGAAATTTTTAGCGTATTCCTTTTTTTATTTATTGGATAAAACACTCAAAATGTCATTCCATTCACGAATGAACATCAATTGCATTGTTTCATACTATCTAATTAATTTTGTGTGTGTGTGTTTGTGTGCGTTAAATTGAGTATCGTGACATTCTAAGACATTCCGCCTCAGGCCGACTTTTAAWAAACCTAGAAAGTGAATTCTGTTCAGTGAATGAATAAGGGCCACTTTTGCAATCTCCTTCGGCTACAACGCAACAAGACTATTCTAAAACACGCCTTTACACTAACTAAGGATACGTTTACAAGGTGGTACTCGGCATTCGTTAACTGAAAATACGGAATAAGGAACACAAGCCTCCCTTTTAAAGATGTTTTGTACTCTGAAGGACAAAAGGATCCGGACCCCCTGGACCCCTCCCCTGGATCCGCCCTTGACACGGCCTTGTTCTTGATAGTTTATGATATCATGCTCGACTTCATCCACGGTGACAATGTTTCTAGTATTCAAACTGGCCATTGCTCAATGTGTTCAATGAGTACAGTTGTACTGGGATTGTTAACCACCATTGGTTCCTCCAGCCATATCGTAGGTGGAATCTAGTGGAAGTTGCTGGAGTTCGATATACATGCCACTTAAATGGTCATGAATAAAAAAAGAATGAACTAATGGTGGTTTGCGTCAATGCCGGGTCATCCAGACCAAGGTTTATGCAACTGCATCTGTACCGCCACATCCTATAAAATGAGACCCATGATTTCGGCCTCTGTTAAGTTTGGGGACTAAGGTTTGGGCAAAGATTTGTGAAACGTAACGCAGGAACTTCGGTTTGGAATATGGGAAATAAGGTTTAGCCTTTGGAGTTCAGATTGGCAGAATGAGAATTGGGAGAGGATTAAGATATGGGGCATGAGTTGAAAGGGGTTTGTGATGGATGGATAAGGCGCGCGGGATGGCGGAACGTATTGATCAATGGATTCGTTCCACCACTGGAACAATGGATGCATACATGGAATCCTCATGAAACTACGCTTGAGTGTCATTAGAATATATGTTTCTTCTAAAATCCTGGCCAACATCCTCGTAGTCTTGTCCTGGCGCATTCTCTTTATGACGTAGTGTTTCGTATTCGGTGTTTGCTCTTGGTTTTAAGTCCATGTATTGTTCATGTCCCKTCATGCCTCGCGTGTGTTGTGTTTCACTTTTTCTAGGTCTGTTTGCAGGCTGTTGTATCGACTGGTAAACCGTATCACTGCTTCGTCTTGGTTGTAATTCCATGTAGCCTGAAGTTTCTATTTCGTCAGCTGTTGTAGTTTCTGGTGTTTTTGAATTTTTAATGACGTTATCTTGATAGTTTGTGTGCAGGACCATGACGTCATTGGTGATCCCTGTTTCATCTTTCTTGTTCTTAATTTTTTTCCTGATACTCTCATTGTGTTGTTTTTCTTTTTTTAGCCGGTACACCAAATAAGCGATGCAGATGATCAGACCAAGGATGATCAATACAAGTGGAATGACGTAAGGTACAACTGTCAACAAATCAAAAGATCACTTGATTATTTAAACACTCTTGTAATAAGATTTACACATTTAGGTTTAGTCTATTCTCTAATTTATTTTGCATTAGATTGCGAAAAGGGCAGTAATGCGAAGTGCACCAACAAAATTTGCATGACTTTGTCGCAAGGGCTGTTTATCCCCTTCACCCATCTCAATTTTAAAACCGATTCGCAGCCCCTGTTAAAGGAGACTGGGTGTAATTAAGGCTGGTTCACACTATAGTCGTAAGCGTCGGAGTGTGAAGAGGAATCGGAAGCACAAGAAGCTTACGATCTGGTGTGGATCAAAACAACGCAAGCGGAATCGTAAGCCTCGCTTCTGCGTTCGTTTCTTTGTTCCCATAGTTACCAGGTTTGCTGCCATGTTTTCTGCTCTGAATGGCTCTGTCATTGGTCAAAGCTTCCGATTCCGATTCCGATTCCGATTCTTAAGTTCACGCTTGATAATAAGCGTAATAATTGGAATCGATGTCGGTAGAAAAAAAGAAACCTGATAATCCTTCCGATTCCGATTCCGTCGCCCTTCTGCTTCTGATTCCGACTCCAATTTTTTGTTCACATTAGATCGCAAGCTATTCTTACGACTCCGCTTACGACTCCGCTTCCGATACCGTTTCCAATTCCGTCGCTAGTGTGAACCAGCATTTAGAAAACGTTAAATGATCCCTTAGTTGTAACAGCTATCCAYGTAGAAAGGAATTACGCTAGTATATATTGTTATACCTTCCTTTGCTTTTCTTTCACTTGCGCTAGGTTTCCGTGTAATGTATTTTTTCAATTCCACTCTGTTTATTCGGTAAACTATCGTTCTTTCACTGTTTGTAGCAGTACATACATAGATACCAAATTCCTTGTCACTTTTAAGTCTTATAATTAAATCGTCGCCACTTGCCCTCGCTTCGAAGCTATCGAGTGAAGGAGATCCCAATTTTGTCCACAAGTATTTTATTGGCTCATGTCCACTTGTATAACAGCCGATAGTAATTTCATCATCTTCTAATGCCCAGATTGTCGAATTGGCAAATGCTGGTGGATCTGTAATGACATTTAATGCAAGTTTAAAAGAACAATTTTTTTTGCATATAGTTTTGTTTTTTGCCGTTCTTGCTCTTTTCCCCCAATAAAGACCTAGTGATAGACAACTTTTAAAAAAATCAGGGATAATATCCCATAATTTCTGATATAGTTTGATATATTTGTGTGTGTATAGCACGCGCGTTTTAGATTCCCCAAATATACAGTCATATGCAAAAACTTTGACCCATATATATATATATATATATATATAATATATATATATACACTCGATTGCAGAAACGTTGTAGTATACATTTATACATTTATACAAATATTTAATGAGATGCATAATGCAAAATAACCATTTTCAACGCTTAAAACCAACTGATTTACAATCTGTACGGTCTAATAGACAAGGAAAAAATATTTTGATAGTCATTGAATGAAACAAACAATAAATAAAGCGATTTTTCTGTTTTGCATATCATTACATATACTGAATAAATTAGATATATGTATAAATGTATACTACAACGTTTCTGCAATCGAGTGTATATATATATATATATATATATATATATGTATATCAATATAAGGGTCAAAGTTTTTGCATATGACTGTATATTTAAGGAATCTAAAACGCGCACGCATGTTTCTGTACTGTGAGATAAGCACGCTGGAAGCTGTAGAGCACGAGAGAAGCAAGCATAGGAACACTTGGCGTAGTCGAGCGTTTTAGTAATCTACAGCTCTAAAGTGCTATATACAGCACTTTACAGGGACTTAAGCAGCCCATTTATATTGCCTTTATGAAATCTTTTTGAAAGATTTTGCGCGAGCGTGTCTCTGTCCTTTGATATAAATACTCCCCGCCGTAGCCAGCTAATCATCGCGTGCGTTATGTCTCAAATACTTTGTTTAGCCAATCAGCTGTTTAGGGCTTAAAAACCAGTTTGTCACATGACAGTTATATAGGAGACCTACTTTCACTGTGTAAATACATTTTTAGTTTAGTTTTTAGTTAGATTTTTAATTTTATACTGATGAAGACCGAAGGTCGAAACTCTTAATAAATTATTCAAGGCCATTAGAAGTTGCCTGCCTTCCGTTGCCATGACATAATTTTTGATATACTTAGTATATACCTAGTATTAATGCTCACACTGTACACTTTGGTCATATTTTACCAAAAAGTTGTATTATATCTTCATTTAAGCGAATTTTGAGTTGAAAATTACCCAGAATATAATGCACCCGATACATTGATATATATATATATTATTTGCAGAATTTTTGCAAAGCGCTGTATATATACGTCTTCACGAATGTCTTAACGATTAAGGAAGATTTATATATATACATGTCTTCACAAATGTCTTAACGATTAAGGAAGATTTGATCTTAATACCTTGGGTTACTTCAATTGTAGCTACCACTGCTGCTTGGCCCGCGTAAACGTTCTTTTAAGAAGAAAAAAAAAAAAAAAAAAAAAAAACAAAAAACAGCTTTTGTTTTAAAAAACCCTTGGCGCATAAGGCGGTCGATTCTCGAGTCCCATGTACTTACCCCTTGATGTTCAGTAATCGCTCTTTCTACAATAGTAGATGTTTTTCCTTTGTCTAGTGGTACATTTTTATATTGTCCATATATTTTATTGTCACCAACAGGAAAAGGAGACTTGATCTCGTTGGGTTTCAGTTCTGCTGTAATCGCTCTCTCTGCAATAGTATATGTTTTTCCTTTGTCTAGTGGTACATTTTTATATTGTCCATATATTTTATTGTCACCAACAGGAAAAGATGACTTGATCTCGTTTGGTTTCAGTTCTGCTGTGACGTAAAACTCTTTTGCATCTTTGTAGACACCGATATTTGGTGGTAAGTCACTGACATCTTTGTTCCCTTTGATTACGATAACTTGATATGAACTGTAATATGTTAATAGTGACGTTAATAATGGATACGAAGTTTACACTTCTCTACATAATTAGGTAACTGTTGTTGTATTATTTATATCTTGATGTATAGACCTGTAGCACATTCAAAAGGGGGAGATCTCGATTTTTAAATATATTAAATCAGAAAATGTGTTGTACAAGTTTAAAAATACAATTTGTAATAACTACCTGATTGGTCCATTGACAGGATCAACTGACCATAATGGAACGTCAAATTTGTCCTTTAGAGTCACAGAATTCCCTGTAGGCTTAACAGGATCTAGAACATGAAGTATTTAAATGATGCTTTAGGCAGCGAGACAAAAAGCAAAACCGGAATCACTTATGAAACTTACTGTCAATGTCTGTGTCTTTTTTACTTGATTCACTTTTTTGACTCTTTCCACATTCTGTTGACGCAGTTACCCAGAATTCATAGCTTGTACCAGGTACAAGACTGTCGATTACCATATTAGTTCGTGCTCCATTCTGCGTGTAAGTCTTTGAAAATGAGTACTTCGGCCAGTATGATTTAGAACCTTTTACTTCAATCTAAATCGAGTGAACATGCTCCGTTATTTGAACATAAGATCAAACTTGCAAAATAAATTCAAATATCATCGTGAGGTTAACCTAAATACTAAATCAAAAACTAAATCACCGAGTTTTGACTAAATGTTTAAATACAATACTTAGAATTATCAAGTTTCTAGATTTTATATATTAACCGAGTATTCTTGAGTAGTCTCGATCACTCACAACTTACCATATATTTATCAACAACCAATGATATTGGCAAGGGCTTTTTCCATCTTAATTCAATAGAAGTCTTCGTTAGACTCTCAGCTTGTACATCAATAGGGTTATCAGGCTCTGAATGAAAATCAAGCTTATTAGTTGTGTTCTGAACATGGTTTCCAAAGAAGAATATCAACTCACGCGATGTCAAAATATTAATGGTACTTTTGGGTCCTGGTCCAACACTTGTATGACCCCTGACAGATACTATATAGTTTGCACACAATCTAAGGTTGTAGAGTGTGTACTGGGTAGCCTGTGTTGTAGTATTAAACATTTCCTGTAATGATCTTCGTGAACGACCTCCCACAACAACTATTGACCAAAAGATCTCGTACTTAGTAACCACACCATTGCTTTGATCTGTTGTTAACGATTGCCAGGTAACCAGAAATGTTGTATCGTTTATCTTTGTTGCTGTTGTATTTTGTGGGCCAATATCAGGAACTGAGAGAAAGAAAGAAAAAAATTGCAGATAGTTGCAACTGTATCAAAATAAAATATCAATCAAACAAGGAACAAAGATAAATTCCTTCTCACCATCCTCTAATGTTTTTATTGTTGTAACGCTGCTTACAGGACCCATATACATAGTGTTTCGTACAGCCACTRAWAKGTCGTAGTTAGTGTATTTTCTAAGATTCGTCAGCGTTGCATGGCCGACGTTACCCACGTCAGTCTGTTGTTGTGATCCGCCTTCTGGTGTGTAGAATATTCTGAATCCAGCCATAGGACCATGTAACAGGTCTAATTGTGAGTACTAGAATAAACAGATCTAAGTTATTCATTTAAAAGTTTTTAAACTTTTACTTAAAAGTAAACTCCTCATGATTCACAGAGTCAAAAATAGCCAGATTTACTTTCTAATAATGTCATGTCGTTTATTAATATGTTTTATCTTTAATATTCGTGAAAGACGTTGGATTTGTAGTATGCGGTGTCAAATTTCCCGTTTGAAGTATAAACAGGATATAATAACTCAAATCCCTTATGTTACGTCATAGTCATTAACATATTGGAAATATAAACCTTCGTATCTCAAAGACCCGACATTCAAATGACGAATTATTTTCACAATCAACTATTCATTATTTAAAGAATCAATTCTGAAAATATTGTGTAAAGGCTAATAAGCACTTTAAATTCCTCCAACATGGCGGCTGTGAAAACCATCAATTTCAGCTTATCCTATTAACAAAATTACAAGGCATGGGTCTTTTCACTTACACCGGGTTCATTGTATTTTTTAGGCCTTATGAGTTTAGGTACATGATATGGCATCCATTCACGTAGTTAATTATAAACTTGTTTACCTTCAAAAAAATTCTAATACTTTCTGATGACAGTAAATTTGTCCCTATGATCGATGGAACGCCTTGCGGCTCTACAAAGAAATATAATTATAGAATCATGAAATATTCAACAAGAAATTAAAATTTATGGAAACATTAAACCTTTTACAGCGGAATTAAATTCCATCTAATGGTATACTGATCCAGAAATTTTGAACTTGTTTTTTTT